TTCCCGAGTAGTTTTTTGAACTTTTTATCTCTAAAAGATGGCTTAAAAATTTTTAACACATACAGTTTTGTAGAGCTCGACGAGTTCTACCAAACCATGTAAAAATATCCAAGAAAAACATTTCAATCCATTTTCGAATCACTGACACCTTACTTTTGCACCACAAAAAAGTATAAAATTTCTGAAGTTTGACATTAAAAAGTTTTTTAACCCTCCCTATTGAGTATTAATAAACTCCATTTTTGACGAGCTTTCATTTTCTACGGTGGACAAAGTTCATTATTTGTTCTATTTCAAATTAGAGCGATATCCCCCTGGAATGATATTATTTCTAACCGTGTAAAAATAGAAGTCATACATGTGAACATAATATGAATTTGAAAGGAAATTATCAGCTGGATGGATTCCTTTATTAGAGAAACATGACAAAAACTCAAGGTTATACAAAAGACTCAATTATGCCATACAAGTAACCATGCTAATGAGATTCAATACTAATTTAATAACATTGATGTTGTTAGTATATAAATAATACCATAACCTTAATACATACTGGAGAACAGGCTTTTCCTTCAAGAATGTCGACCATTAATAATGACAGCATCTCGAATGATACATCTGTAGATATGTTAGTGTCCATATCACGTACAATTGCATTTTGGATTTACACTATTCTTATTATTCCATCTGTTCTCTGTTATTTATATATCTTTTTCCAATGTATTCATAAAGATATGTTGCGCAAACATATTCGAATTCATACTGTTTTCGCTGTGTTAATTTATAGTTTTCTACAGGTAGGTTTGACTTTTTAATTTTTCTTATATTTCATTGAATGTGTATTAAGGTAACATCGGAATTACCAATTATACTTTCATATTTGCGAAATAATCTTGTTCCTATACAATCGGATATTTTTTGTAAGTTTTGGTCATATCAAGATTATTTATTTAATGTGACGATTTTAATGTTAATGGGTTTCACTGCAATAGAACGTTATTTACTTGTTTTTCACAATCAATTTCTTCATCAACATTTAATTATTCTTCACTATATACCAATGATTTGTTGCATTATTTATCCACTAGGACTCTATATTTATTTAATTTTTTTCTATCCTTGTATTAATCAATTTACTAATACAATGATTACATGTGGTGGACCTTGTTATATCTATGAACCGACAATTGGCACTGTCGATCTGTTTATTGATCTTGTTTTTCCTGTTGCAGTTAGTAGTCTTGCTAGTCTTATACTGTTAAGACGTGTTCTATGGCAAAAACGTCAAATGCAACAACGTCAAATGTGGAAAAAAAATCGACGTCTTCTCATGCAATTATTATATATTGTAATATTATACAATCTTGTCTGGCTACCTATAGTAATCGGTTCATCAATTATGCTTCTTTCTCCAATTCCACAACCTTTCTTGGTCGAATTGAGTATCAATATTTTCCCATATGGTATCTATATTGCGATCTTATTGTGTCCTTTTGTTTCATTAATGAGTTTACCTGAACTATGGCCTCAACACAATTCAAGGATTGGTCCATTAGCAAAAACTGACAAATCATTACGACCTATCGCACCATTGCCAATCATAGGTATCACTGTTTCATCTAGAGCAATATAAAAATAACAAGAACATCTTGATTAAATGACTATAGAAACAAGAGTTTTCTACCACCGCTCAATTAAATATATATCATTTGTTGTGAGTTATTTGTAAGATATATTGTGAGTGAATGTTCAAATTCTAAAATTTTTCTTTTTTCTTTCGAATATCTACTTTATTGGTTTAGTTCAATACAGATATTGGCTGTAACTTATTATTCATGCATAAAAATACACGATTGGAACTTATTGTTGTAAAATATTCTTGTTGTTTTGTGCAATTTTTTTGTTGTCATTTGCTTATAATAAAAAAATAGAACTAGTACATTTTCTTATTTTTCTCTTTGCATAGCAGATTATTGTAGTTGAATCGAGAAGAAATGAGAATGGAATGTGTTTCATTTAGAAAAGAGATCTAAAGGTTAATGTTTTGATTGCACTAAATAGATATTGAACACAATATGACTATGATTTTTCGACGAAAAGTAATAATAGACATTGTCTCATGTATTTCTTCTAATCAACTCATGTAAGACTTAAAGTTGAACGAGAATAAAGTCACTATGCTTACTTGCATTTATCATAAGTAGGTCAATTTCTGAAGTTTTTTTTTCTCACGTCTAATATGAATAGACAAAAGTGATCGAACAATGCTAAAATACAAGTTCATTACAATCTCATACAAAATATTGTGAGATCGTGACTGAAATGTGCACACTTATTTGAAGAATCTCAAGACTGTAAGTCGTGAAAATATTCATGACACTAAAATATATTTATGAACATTAAACTCAGTAATCGTCGTAATAGTGTTGTGTAGGTGAGAGTGACAAATTATTGCCAGAAAAAGAATTGAATCTTACTGATAAATCACAAAAAACATTTTGTATTTTCGATTGATTGATGAACAGTGTGAAGTAAATGCTGATCATTAGAAAATTGCCTATTATCCATTATATTGAAATTGTTTGATGAATTTTTAGCTGTTGTGTGCTTATTGCATTGCAGTTGCTCTGTTATTGGGTTTTATTTTATTTTTCTTCTTGATACTGCTCAATGCTAATATATCAAGATCTAGTACAGTGGTATCGAATTCCAATTTTCTAAGAGTAAGGTTTTAGTTGGAGAAAAGACATTTTCAACTATTCTCTCAATAGAAGACAAAGAGCTTGTTTCTGTAGGTAAAATCAAAAGAGTTTCCATAAAAAAAGAAAAGATTTATGTCAGCTTTCTGATGTGGATTAGATAAAATCGAGACATTATTCGGTTCAATTATTGATAGAGTTGAAGAAATATCGATCGATTTCATACAAGCAATTAAAGACTCCTTGAAATCAATTCATAGTGTTGAAAGGAGGAGAGTCGTTAAGAAGAAAAAACAGTGCCCTGTCAAAATTCGATTCTGTCTTTCCAATTTTATCAGTTTAGCTGTTAGAAATCTATTTCTATTGAAATTAGACAATTTCATGTGTTCCACAATTTACGCCACTCGATTTAGTTATCCTTCTTTTCTCTTTCCTACGCAGTCAGACAAGCGTTGAAAAAAACGACGTTTTTACGCGTAAAAATCGCACATTTTCTAGGCGTTAAAAAGCGTTTATTTTTGGAAAAAGAATCATTTTCTCGATGTTGCTATTAACAAGGTTGCTTTATTTTTCGAACAAAAGTTACATTTCAAGAAACGTTAAAATGTGCGCTTTTTACGCGTAAAAACGTCGTTTTTTTCAACGCTTGTCTGACTGGGTATATAGGATATATATAATGATAGTACAGCACATTTGATTATCAGAAACATATCGATCCACTTTGGATCATATACTAATCGACAGATCTCATCAAGATCTAACAGATTATAGTAAAATATCTAGAGAAAAAAAGTGAGGAAGTAGGTGTAGTGGTCGACACAATGGGTATAGGGTCATATGTTGTAGGTTGTGAAGAGATGGTAGAGAACTTTTGTCCATCAGAAACATGCAGATCCACCCTGAATTTTATACTAATCGATAGCCTTGTCAGGGTAGGTGTGGGTGTTGTCTTCTCTTTATCCACAGCCACAGCCACAGCCACATAACCACACATCCAAACCCACATCCTTAAATGGATAACGATAAATTGTGTCATTAGAAACAAACATAAGAAATATAATTTTGTTGTTGCTAAATATTTTTTTTTTTTACAAAAGTATACTAATGATGTTTGAAGATATTCATATATAGTATCATCATCATTTTTTTTTCAATATTTGAATTTCTGTCGTTTCTGTAATTTTTCCATGGTTATTTAGTATTTTATAAAGCAGAAAGATTTTTTTGTCCAATGAGCGAGTACGAAAGATGATCTGTAAACAGTCCTTATAACATCGGTGAGTTAGTCTCACGTATTTTCGATATTCTCAGATGGTATAAATCTATTGATTGTGTCTTTGACAAAAGATCTGCGACAAAAAAAAGGACTTATATGTCGGTAAATTTGGAGAAACAGCAATTTGGTCGAATACAAAAAATGTCGATCGTAAATTTATCGACAAAAATTTGTCGATTCGACAAAAATTTGTCGATTCGACAAATTTCATCAACAAATTTACGATCGACATCTTTTATAGTCGATAAAATTGCAGGCACTCGTAAATTTGTAGTACGCTTGCTGTTATAATTCGTAAATTAGCGGTCTAAATGGATTGACTAGATGAACGTACCTTTTTTCTTTGTAAGAGAAACTGTATAGTTGAAAACCTTCAAGTATGGCAGACAATAACAGTACTGAAAAGAGCGTTCGAGATTTTACTTCATACTCACAGGTGTTGAATTCGGGAGCATTTCAACTCGTCACGATTTTTGTTTTCTGGCTTTCGTAACGAATAGACAGTACGAAAGCCCGTAACAGAGCTTTCGTAACGGCAGAATCAGACCTTTCGTAACAAAATTTCATGGGTTTCGTAACGAATTTTACAGGGTGATCGTAACTAGTGGTTTGATATGTGCTATTTTAGAAAATAATGCCGTCAATTACAGACCTTTCGTAAAGAATTTTTCAGGGTTGTCGTAACTTCTCATTCAGGGCTTTCGTAATGCACTTAGCTTAAAAGTACGAGTGACAATACAGGGCTGTCGTAACGAAAAGTACAGGGCTATCGTAACCGTTAGGGTGTGGGTGTGGGTGTGATTGTTGGTGTCATTTTCTTTTTGTAGACATCCACATCCACATCCCAACGCCCATCCCCACACCCCACACCCACACCCACGCACCTACACTCACACCCACACCCACTCCCCACGCACCTACACCCACACCCACACTTACCCACAACCACACCCACCCATACCCTTGTTTGATTAAG